CCGTCGAACCTCTCGCTGCCTATCCTTCTCGCGTACCCCCGCCTCAACGGCAACGCCTCCTCGTACGTGTCGCTCCCTATCCTTCCCGCGTACCGCCCCCCCCTCAAAGGAGCGAGGCCTGGCGCTCGATCCCCGACTCCCGTCGCCATCACGCCGTTGGAATTCCCTCACGGGGGAGGGCGCAGAGTCACTGGCGTCCATCGGGGTACATCCCAGGAGAAGCGGCGCGGTCACCTTCGGCAGCCGAGGCGACGGTAACGGTGGAAGGGGTCATCGACGAGACGGGTGGAGGGTGAAGCTGGGCCGCACGGTTCGCCTGGAGCTGGAGCGCAGCGTCTGGTTGGGGGAGGGACCGGGTCAGCCCGGGTCGTTGCACCTCCGGTGCGTCGCGGGGGGATGGGGGCGGTGGGGGTGCGTCGTCACGGGTGTGCTCATGTTTTGCATGCCTTAGCGGTTAGACGATTGGCCACGCGCCCTCGAGAGGACGAACGGAGCATTGTTTTGTGATAGGGCCGATTGCTCCGTCCTTCTGCGCCAAACTTGGCTCGAATGTGTTTGCACCCGATCTATCCTGTTGGCGCTTTTCTTCTTCGCCGAGACATAGTAGTGTTGCGAGTCGGCGAGAAGGGCAGGTTGATTTTCATTATTTTTTGTTTGAGGTGATACATAACCCGTGACTGGTTCGGACGACAACGTATGGCACCTGTGATGAGACCTTTCGAGGTCTGTGACTTGTAGCATGAAGCCGTCTCAATAGTCTCCCGCTCCCTCGCTGGGGAGTGCCGGTACTTGTTCGTTGATGGCGTGGTGTTCTCCCCCAAACTTACATTCCCCAACCCCCCGCATCCACGCATCATCTTCATTTTCACGTCTCCCTTCCAACCATCGTTGTCGTTGGTGGTGTTGCGCATGATGCACAGGGACATTAGAAAAGCTCTGGCAGCCTTGGCGCGAGAGCTGAACACGTCGGAGCGAAAGCGACTTGAGGTGGAGGAGGCGTTGCGATCTGCGGGTGGCGGCGTCGGCATCAACGAGGCAAGGGGACTATATTTTCCACCTTTTCGCACGCCACAGCTCGTTGGCTTTTCGTTGACGTTGTTCTCTCGTCGTCTCTCTCTCTCGCTCTGCGGTCTCTCTCGCTCCTTGTCCCTTTCTCGTTCTTCCCACGCTCTTCCTCGTTCTATTTAGCTCTATCTTGGACATTAATGTCGCTCTTTTTCTGAGCCACCGGTGTATTCTGTCTGTTCGTACATATGTATGAGAAAAAAAAACGGAACTTCACCAACAGGACAAATCCACCTAAAGGCAAGAGAACAGTACATTGTGGAAGACATCAGCTTGTTTTGTTTTTGTTGAAACCGTGTTTGTTTGAAGCCGCTAATTGGACGGTGTCGCGTCGTGGGCGTCACCACCAATGCGAGACACGGGGTTTCATCGCACGCTCATCGTGTCGACCTCGTACTTCGCAGATAGCCTCTTTCAGTCTCCAAACCAGAGTAAAACGAAGCGAAAGGAAGTCATCGGCAAAACGTCAACCAAGAAAAGCAAAACGAGCACAATGAAGCATTGTCGATCTGCGGACGGGTACCCTCTTTCTTGTCGGGGGCGGTCGCGAAAATCACGTCGCAGTTGGAGGAGTCAGCGGACGTACTGCGGCGGCGCGTGGAGCTGCTAGAGGCGGAGGCATCGGCAAAGCCAGCTGTCGACCTCGAGGCCTTTGCCGCGCTGGAGGAAGAGATGAAGGCAGCAACGGCTGTTGGGGCTCGGCTACGCGAGCAGGTGCCGACGGGGAGAGTCTTGTTTTCTTGGCTTGCTATTTCTTGTTGGAAGCAGGACTTATCCCCATAAGGTACATTTGGTGATGTGCTACCCTGGTCCGGTGAACTCCCGGCGTGCTCCGTCGCGGCTGTGTAGGGATGCGCGGTGACTTTTCTATCGACTACGGCAGTGAGTAACCCCCCTAAGGTATTCGCTACATGTATTCGGGTAGGTATCGCCATCAGGTGCGCCTTGGGAATAGAGTGGAGGAGGGTCGGTTATCTCCGTTTTTTTTTTTTATCAGCACGGCAGTGGTGGTGATGCAGGTGCGGTGCTCGGGCTGCTGGTAGGGATTGCGGTAGCGGGGGTGGGGTGGGCTTTTCTTTGCGCGTACTGCTGGTTTTGGCTGCTCGATGACTACCTGGTTCTGTAAGTCGTTTCCTGATTGGTTGGTGGTACCGCGACAGTAGTGTTATCAGTCGTTCGGTAGATTATCCACGAACGCACAGCATCTCTCTTGTGCTAGGGAGATCGCTAGTGGTGCGAGCAGCTCCTCTCCATGCCTTATATTCCTGTCCTAGGTGCTGCCTTGTATCGTGGTAGTCGCTGTCGAGTTGCCGCTAGGTGCGACACACACACACAAACCACACCGCCACGCCCTGGTTCTTGGGGCACTCGTCGCGCGGGCCAACAAGCGCAACTCTAACCCCCTCAATTGTCCTTCGACAACCGTCGCTTCACGCTCGCTCGCAACCGAAGACATATACTCCGTTTTATCGCCAAAAAATAACCCTTGCGAGACGTGCACACGGCACTTGTGATGGTGGCGGTAGTATACAACACTAGACATACCCCTCCCCCCCCCCCGCTTTCGTGCGCCGTTACGGACCCCGTCTACCGATTCTAAGGTGGGAAGCTTGGAGGAGGCGTTGTCCGCGGCAAGAAGAGAGGTTGCCGAGGCCTCCGCGGCAAGCGAACGGGCTAGAGCGGGAAGGAACGAGGCGGAGGCGCGGATCGTGCGACTGGATGCCGCCAAGCTGGAGACTGCGAGAGAGGTATGATGAGCATGTGCAAACGGGTTTTGTCAGCCAGCAGTGCTTCTTTGGTTTGGCTGGTGCTGTACCCGGGCGGTCTCTAGTTTGTCCTCTGCTGTTGTTAGCAGAACTAAGCACAGTTTCATATCTCACCTCTCATCTTTCTCTCTCTCCCCCTATATGTCTCTCCCTCTCTCTCTCTCTTTCTTGTTCTCTCCCCCCCCCCCCCCCCCCCCCCCCCCCCCCCCCCCCCCCCCCCCCC